ATACTACACGAAGCTATTGTGTTAGAAAGTATCTTCAATACATTTTTGTACCAGGTGAAAGTTACTATAACAAAATAGGAACCTCTATCAGCTGAACGATTATTATCTCTTTTTAATGAATTGTCCGAAGCAATGATCAGCAATGATACCAAATCTGAACTGAAACGTAAGTTTCAGCACTTCAAATTCAATAAACATTCTCAAGTTTCAGAATATTTGCAGATTGAACCAATACACAGTAGAGTATGTGAGCCGGTCGTCAACTTCAAACACAGTTTTGAAGTACAGAGATAGTTTTGGAGATAAACTATATTAAGTCCCATGTCACAATTCATTTGTGGGCATGTAGTGGACATATGGATCGTTTTGTTATTATGTTGTTGTTCTTTGACACATATTGAAAAACCGCTTTTCTGTTGATTTACTGGACGAATTGCTTTGAAATTTTCAATGGTTAAGATTGATTTGCCTGAAGGCTATTACTTTCATATATTTCCAATATTTCTGAGAGCTGCATGGAATTCATTTCTTTTGTGCTATGACCTCATCAAAAATTGCCACCATGTGGCGCTTCATCGTGCGAGCGAGTCACGAGGTCAGCGAACATTGGTGCTTCTAGTGTTTAGCGTACCGTCAAAGGTAAGCTGGACTACTGCTTCGCTCAGGCTGCGTGTCCATATATTTGAGCATCGCTCTCTTGTTGAAAGTGCAAACTATAAAGTTCTTGATCCCCTTTCTGGCACAAATAGACTCACTTCAGTCATTGCAGCAATATCCCTAAAGATTAGATAACCTTAATCTTCATATCTGAAATTATATCAAAATACTTGACAGAGTTTCAAGTAGTCATTATAGACTTAATGTCATTTACGATAAAATTTTATAATGGAATTGGAAGTTCGGGGCTTTTACTACAGTTAATTAACATGACATGTGTCTCGCTCGGATTAACGATAGGATCTACATATCTATCCCAGGAGAGAGATAATGGACCAGATGGTGGAGGAAGCTGTAACCGACCAGCGGTTATGTGAACCACCCAACTGCGACGAGGAGTCCAGTAATCCTCTCGCACATAACCATGGGGTGACGAGCGTATTCCTAACGATCTCCACATTTAAACCTGCGAACCTACACAGACTGACATAGTGTAAGTAATAAGAGGTGCGATGCCAAGCTTATTCCGCTTACAGGCTTAGCACGATGAGCCACACCACTGCACCACTGCTAATTTGAAGTTAGACAATTCAGCAATTAAATATATCAAATAGTTAGAATGCATATTAACATTTTGCTTAGGTCTGCGGAGTTCACTCAAACAGTCAAATGTCTTTAGCAGTTTCACTTTTTAGTTTATCGCTTGCTCCACACAATGCTGCAATGTTACTGGTACGGTACCAGTCCCAATTTGACATACCGTGTTCGTGCCTACATCTTGCCACACAATAATTCTACCGCGAAGGCATACCGGTACCGGTAGTCTACCGTTACCATAGTAATTAAAAGTCCAAGTCTGGTAACTCTGGCATATGCAGATACATTCAGGCTACATGCTAAACTTAAGAACCTTAAAATGTTCGTACGGTACCGGTATACGGTACGGTAACACTGACACCATGCCCTTCACTTTTTCAAACGTCGCCATCCCTAATCTGCCACCACAATTCGACCGCATTTTGCCATCCCTAATCTGCCACCACGCTTCGACCGCATTTTGCCATCCCTAATCTGCCACCATTCGACCGCATTTTGCCATCCCTAATCTGCCACGCTTCGACCGCATTTCGCCATCCCCAATATGACTTTTCGACCCTATTTTGCCATCCCTAATCTGCCACCTTTCGACCGTATTTTGCCATCCCTATTCTGCCATCCCCAATATGACATTTATGCTACCACCACTATAGTGCAAAGTGACTATAAAACAAGTGGTGACACCGAGAGCACATCGGACGTCATTTTGTGTCCAGCGAATCGGGGGAACGCGGCAGCGTCAGTTTGTTTTAGCTTCGTCAGAAGGTCTCGTTCGTCAATTTGTTTGAAGGTTTTTTACTGTTTTGCATTTTACTCGGCTAATTTCATTATTTTTCTTTTGCTATTTGCCTCGTGGAATCATGCTGGTATCGTGTGGTTTCGTGGAAGTTGCGATAGCTATCTTATCATCCCGTGTGAATTATGCAACTTTGAAACCTCATATCTCACGAACCTTAAATTATATGCAGATAAGTTTTATATTGTTTGAAACAAATCTAGGAGAATAATTATAATTATGAGATGAAGATATAATGTCGCGATTATCATACAAAAATCGGCAAAATTGAAAAGCGTGAAAGCGTTAAACAACAACGCAATTACGTCGCAACGTTCCGTATGAAAAATTCGTATTCGCTTTCCTTCGCAAGTGTGAAACGTCATTAAACTAATGTATACGTTTATACCAGATACTATTTGAACTGCTATTATGATCCTGTCCACACCATGCCGAAAGTTTAAAGCCTGCGTTTTTCATTAATCATTCCAGAAGCTGATGAAATGAATTTTTTTCGGAAAAATGTTTCTTAATTTAACAAGCTGTTGCAACGGTTGCTCCAAAAATTATAGAATGTAAACGATCTCATGGCTAGCACATTGTGCGGCCTAATGAATTTCATCGAAGCATGTACATTATAAGATACAAAATTTAAAAACCAGCCGCCGCGACTGGTGTTGCAGCTCTTATCAACTTATCATTGGCAAGGTATTTCAATTCTTTTGCGTCGGAAAATGTAAAATATTCAATAGGTGATCTAGCGACGTCATCATATCTTCTACGTTCTCGTTGATAAAACTTAATTGTAATTTTATCGATACCCAACAGTGAAAAATTAGCCTTGATGTTTCCGGGGGAACCCTATAAAGACACGGGGTTCGAATTGTTTGTCTGTTTCTATGAAAAGTGTCAATCCCAATGAATGCCCACAATCGTTACTAACTCTTTTTAGGTCTTACACACATGATAGATATTTGAAAATTTATAGTTTTACCCAATATTTATGCCACCCATCCAAAAAAGCAATCGTATTTTTGCGCGAAGTATAAACAATATTTCGCGCAAATATTAATGCCGTTCATAATATATGTTCGCCTGTTACTTTACTGACTGATAATGTGGCTTGAAATATAGTTTCCCATCTTGCCACAATATCGCTTTTAAAATTTTGGAACGTTTTCTCAATTTAAGGTTTAATATTCACGCAAAAGAGGAGACAAATAAAATTATTAAAAACGGTATGATAGTAGACCTGCGGCAAGAGCTCATGTCTAATAGATAATATAGTATTTTATACACTCCAGATTATTAGATGTTCTTGTAAACTTGATATACGCCGTTATCCTTCATTCCATGCATGTAATATATTTTTTTAATAATATTTTGGCAATGTACACCTTGTTGAAAATTTGCGATACGCATATTTTAATATCATGACATGTACCGCAATGTTAGTGCAAGTTTCTGTAGTATAATTTGTTTTGTAGTTCTGTCAGTTTGTTAAAATAGGTTCTGTGCAAGTAGCGATACTTATATCAGGAATTTTATAATAAAATGTGTGTCTTTTTGTTTAATATTTTAATCTTATTGGGTGTTGATTTATCGAGTGAAGTTGGATGACTATAACCTTAACTTTGTATATGCTGACCATACCGCCAAGCCGAGTTATCCGAGAAACATCTGCGGATAATTAATTTTCCGAAGAATGTTTATTTGTTTTGCCGCTGCAAAAGTTTGGTCTGAATTATTGGGCATCGTTTTTTTTATTCAGCTGTTTAACGATCGCAGGTTTTAGGATCATACAGCGATAAAACTCTGGACACAAAATGGCTGGTGTGACGTCACACGCGTCACACGAGCGCTTATAACGTTACCCAGTGGTTCTCAACCTGTGGTACGCGTACCACTCGTGGTACGCCGGAGCTCTTCAAGTGGTTCGCGAGCAGATTTTAATTACTGCAACAATTAACCTTTCAGTTGGCTAAAATATGCCGACGACGCTTTATCTTCCTTACTGTATGTATTCGCTGAACAGCGATTATGAAAGTTTCCCCAAGCATCAGTTTCCTTGTTTATTTCAGCAACTATAACCAATCAGCAATAAGTCAATAACGAGAATATAGGTCAGAGACTGAAGTCTTATCGATCGAAAGTTAGGGGATCCCCAAAACAGCGCTCTTACTCCATAGTGACACCTTGTGTCCCATCATTAATTAATTAATAACTCGCTAATTAGAGGACATAATTCATCCAATAGGCTTCTGATTCGAGATATGATGAATGCATATGCAAATTTTGTAGCGGATTCATCCTCGCTTTCGTGAGATATCGCGTGTATCTAACAGACAAACAAACAGACAAATATCTATCAACATACTTACCGATCTTAAGATCGATAAGCAATGACGCAACTCGTAACAATTACAATTTTTGCACCCAGCCGATCAGCCACTTTTGTCGCTCAAACAGATATTCAAGCATGGTTGCAAACATAATTGTGAATTAATCAACTTAATTGTCATTGTGTCTTCCGCGGAGCTTTACTTTAGTTGCAGTAATCGAAATTGAATCTTGCAAATGCTGTGATGGACAAAGATAAACTTAGTTATATCCAGGGCTGCCTTCGACATGAACCCAAAAATAAGGACATCAGGGAGACATAATATTAGAATAACAAAGAACGAAATGTAATAAACAAAATGTATTCATGCTAGTGCAATCCGTGTCTAATCATACTTTGCGAAGGATTTGCTCCAGAAGTTCTTTATTATTAGAAACAATCTGTTCCATCTCACTTTTAAGTTGTATTTTGATTCAGGTTACACGCAGTGATTTTGGTGCTATTGTTTTGTCACTGTGTCAATTAATTTGCTGTTATTACGTAATGATGCACGTAGCGATCAATGAGATTGTAAAACATCATTTCTAGCCAATCAATCTTTCGATTTGACAAATCTAAGTGCCTGATATTAGAACCCCTACCAAGAATATAAGGACACATGGCGAAATAAGGACAAATCTTAGAAATAAGGACGTTATGGCAGGCCTGGCTATATCTGTACCTGCAAACGGCACATATGGTTGATTAATTTTAATAAAAATGATGGTTTAAAACACGTAAACCATTTTATATGCACCAACACATCAAAACACTCTCAGAATAAGCATGAAGTTTACAATTGTAAAAGAGGGGAAATTTTTCGGAGTCAATGGTCGGGGAAACGTCCATAGCGCATGTCTCTAGAGTTCGCCCCCGCCCGCTATTGTCCCCCTTAAATGAAGCGATATGGGCATGTTTTTGTCCGTTTTGCGTGTTACGCCACAAAAGATGTAGTGCCACATTATAAAATACTCCCGTAGCACGTTTCTTGTGTCTTTTTCCCCACGCCAAAAAAGGAGCTTTGTCGGTGGTACGCGGCGGCCAGAGTAAAAAACAGTAAAGTGGTACGCGGTCAGTGAAAGGTTGAGAACCACTTCAGGGTGAGAAGTTTTTGTACAGTGAATATGGTAGCATTGATTGGACAAAACAATACCTTAGGAAAGATTGAGAAATTCGAAATTAACATTTTATTATCATTTTCAAATAAATACTTCACACCACAAAAAGTTGAAAATCTTGCTATAAATACAGAAATAGATTACATAAATTTTTTCTATAGTAATAGTTCACATCTTCAATAATGGGTATACAATATCATAACCTTATATCTAAACAGCCATTAATTTACAATAGTGATGAGTAGTGTGATGAGTTTTTGTAAATGTTACATAGTTCCAGTAGTGGGATTCAGCCGGTTCGCACCGGTTCTATAGAACCGTATCACGGAATTTTATGAGATAAGCGAACCGTTCAGCATTACATGACTTTTTGTAACAGAACCGCATGAAATATGACAATTGTATGATGAAACCGACTGACGAAAAATTTGAACCCTACCACTGCATAGTCCCACTTTATACAGTGGATATCATAGCATTTTCACTCATCATTGTCTTCTTGCGTCTCAGATGTCCACAACGTTAGGTTATCACGAAGCAACTGCATTATCAGAGTTGAATCCTTATACGAATCTTCTTGCAAATGATCTAATTCTGCAATAGCATCATCGAATGCAGTTTTAGCTAATGTACAAGCCGTTTCAGGAGAGTTGAGGATTTCGTAGTAAAACACAGAGAAGTTGAGAGCAAGTCCTAATTTGATTGGATGAGTTGACGGAAGCTCGCTACCTGCTTCGTTTGCTTCTTTATAAGCAATTAAACACGCTTCCGCAGCATCTGTCTGGTCCTTGCCAACCTGGACTTCTGCTAGGTAACGATTATAATCACCTTTCATCTTGTAGTAAAATACTTTTGCTTCTGCGTTTTCTGCATCAACTTTGCAGATAAGATGTTCAACAAGTAGAGTGATTATGTTTGTACAAAGTTGTTTCAGCTCGTCTTCGACTCGTCTCTTGTATGCATTCACAAAAACTTTCTTCTTTTTACTATCGTCCCTGGATTCAATGTCACTTAGTACTCTCCACGAAGAACGCTTTGCACCTATTACATTTTTGTATGCAACTGACAGCAAGTTTCGCTCGTCTGCATTGAGATTTTCTTCCATTTTGGACACCTTGTCCATGTACTGCATCATTTCATCATATCGTTCGACTTGCTCTGCCAACTTTGCATAACAAACTAGCTCTTCTCTCCTAGACATGTTAACAATAAAAAAATTCAAAAAGCTCTTGCTAAGTCTGTAAGTACTGTCAAACATGGCGAGAAAGCTTGTTAATAGATAGGCCTACTGAATAGGGACGTGTTGCCATTATGTCTGCTGCAAAAAAGTGGCACCAGAACTGGGGCAGAGAGGGTAGATGCATAACAAAGTGTGTACATTTTTTGAATGACTCCCACATCCAAAACTACATTTCGATATTTTATACCAGGGATGGGGGCCGGTTTGAAATCATGATAGCTTCAGCTCGAGAGTCAGTGTATTCAAACATTGGCTCTAGCTCCGGAGCTTCATTTTTTTTTTATGCCGGAGTTGGGCACCAGCTGACATGCCATCGTCAGTGGCGCAGCCTAATTGGGGTACTGAGTCGAAGTCGCAAATAACGCATGCTTTTGCATTTTGCTGATTGTTTTCGTAAGTGTGGCGTGTTATTTAGGCTGTAAACACCTTTAAAGTGGTGGTATGATAATTTCGTTTTTGTTCATGTAAGTAAATTGTGAATCCACTAAGGACGTGCAAGTCAACTCGCAAGTCAATTTTTCCACATTGGAAACGTTAATATAAAATACTAAAATAAAACGGAAAACAGCTTTGTTTTACGAGACGCATTTCAGACATTGTAAATCTCATCTCAACTTACGGCACATATTATTTATTGGTTGACTTTAAAATCATATCGTCAGTGAAATGAATTTAAACGCAATCAGTCGTGCTCGCCTTGTACCTTTTCATTTATTCTAAAAATAACGACGGAAACCGATGAGACTTTTCTGCAGAACATGATGTGAGATATTTAGTATAAAGTATATTCAATCATCTTTTAAAGTATATTCATCAATATTTCCATAATGGTGATAACCTGACAAAATATGAGTGGCAGCATTGCGATAGAGCGGAGTCAGTGTTGGAACAACAATTCCGATTTGTAAAATTACGAATACGAAAAAAACAAGATATAATCTGGCAACAAAGTCAACACCTATATAAACATGATAGGACCGATAAAGTTCATTACCCTTGTGTATATGCTTTATACAGGTCCATCATGGCATCTGATTGTACCATAGGTGAAAGCAAATAAGATTGAACATATAAAATATAAATAAGATAAAGAAATGAGTCGGCAATTTGAAGTTATTATTATAGTCAATGTGGTAAATTAAGTTCAGTTTATTACTTTACAAACAAGTCCATCCATAAATACTAGGCTTTAATTAACTTAAACATTAGCAGCACCTTAAAAATTATCAAGCACCAACAAAACATGACTCAGATAAAAACAGCAAAGTATGACTCATCATACACATTACTGTTGCCAGTAAACAGATAAGCTGAGAATAAAAAAAAATGCAATATAAATTATTCCCACAGTTGTTCGTCTCGTACCAACTCCACTAATATGCAAAAATGACTTGAATTCATGGGAAGAAAAAAATCCTTCCCTGCCAGAATGCACAAAATTTGGAAAACCAAACAAGCAGAACGATTTAAATAAAGACTCTAAAGTAGTGCGCACAGGGGAATGCAAATGAAAACCAACTCATTTCACCTATAACAACCAATGAATAAGGTATGGGACCCTTCAATGGCCCTTTAAAGTCAACACTCAGTCGCTCCCATGGCTGCATTGCTTTAAAAGGGGCTTCTCTTCGAGCTTGAAAAAGCAGGGCTTAATCTCAGAACAAACTATTCAGATCTTGGTGTATGCTCAATCGTGTAGAAAAACCCTAAAACAATTTCATTCACGAACAGTAGGCTTTAATCAACTTAAACGCTAGCAGCACCTTAAAGCAGTACACAATGAAAGGGTCTTCTTAGTTACTACTTACTAAATACAGCGCGAAACACCGCAAAGAGCGCAAAACAGATGAGGTTGAAGGAGCAAAACAGAAGAATACAGCGCGAAAAAGAGGCAAGCAGCGCAGAACAGAGGGAAACAGTGGGAGCGGAGGAAAAACAGCGCAAAACTGAGGGGAACCGGGCGAAATAGAATAATACAGCGCAAAACAGAAGAATACAGCGCGAAACAGAAACACCGTATCAGCTTTTATATAATACAGTTCATAATAGATGGTTTTTCCCGCTATGATCGATATGTATTGAATACTTTAACCTGAATGATGTTTTTAACTATTTTTGACACTGAATCTGTGTTACTATGATTGTTGTCTAATAATTCAATAAAATGATATTCACAGTTTTCTAGAGGCTCAATGATCTCCGTCGATTTCACAGACCCACATAAAACAATATTATCCGAAATTATTGCATTTAGATTTAGCATTGTATATGTGCGTTAGTTGGTATGTTGTTTGTGGAATAGAATCTCTCTCACCATATGGATTGCTCGGAACAAATATGAAATTTATAAAAATACAGCGCAAAACAGATGTAAAGAGAAAGCAGTGCAATTTGTAACTGTAATTATATATTCTCAAAGCGAAAAACAATTTACATGTGGTGGACAATATATAACAGACGCAAAATATTCATAAATGTAAAACAGACGCAGAAAAAGAATACATCGCTGTTTTCCTCTGTTCTACGTTTCTTTTCTCAGTTCCACCCTGCTTCCCTCTGTTCTGCGCTGTTGCCGTGTTTTGCGCTGTATTCAGTAAGTAGTAAGACAGCAATGAAATGATAAATTACCAACAAAACGTGAATCATATAAAAAAAACAGTATGTATGACTCAGCAGCTAAATTACTGTTGCCAGTAAACAGATAAGTTAAGAATACCAAAATATACAATACAAATTATATTATACAAGTGACAAAACGAATACATTATCAGCAGAGTTGGTTCATTATATTACATTTTGGACACTTTAGTGGACATAACGATCGTTTTGGTATTTTTGTTGTTCTTGTTTAACACGTTGGTGTACATAACGATCGTTTTGTTATTATGTTGTTCTTGTTCTTTGACACAGAATAGGACATCTAAAGGAAATATTAAAAAAACGCTTTTCTCTTTAATTACTGAACCAATTGCTTTGAAATTTTTAGTGGTAAAAAATGAAATTTTTCTCCAGAAGGCCATTCCTTTTTCTTATCTAAAATATCTCTGTTAGCTCTGTGAGGTCTGTTTTTGTTTGATATGACGTCACTGAACGTTCTGCGGACGCATATGCAGGCACTGCTCTTTTTGATCACGTGCCATCGAACGTTGGCGTGACGGCGGATTCTGAAAGTCGTTGCTACTCAAAAATCGCAAGTTTTTTGAGGTTACCGGTGAATGTCGATGACGCTAAATGTACGGTAGACCGTACTGTACTGCTTCGCTTGGTGTGAATATATTTGTAGACTGTGGTCTAAAGGTACGGTAAACCGTACCGGTACTGTACTGCTTCGCTTGGTGTGAATATATTTTAAAACGGTCGTATCTGCTGTTATATTACCGTGATAAATCGAATGAGTTGGTTTTGCAAATAAGAAGCGTCTGGCATTACAGGTATATTGGTAAGTTAACGCACCGAATGTGAATATCTGGGGAGAGATTTTATTTTTATTTTGTTCCAATAGAGGAGAAGGGAATGACACGGGTTACTTGGTATTTCAATTCCTATTGCAATTGAATGGAGAAGAATAGATCATTGCCACGGGACTTGTGAAACGGGAGGCAGACCACTCGACTACACACGGACAACTCACCAGAGACAACTCGACTACAGATAGGCCTGGTGAGTTGTCCGTTTAGTCGAGTCGTCCATCAGCCCTAAACGGCTATGACAGTCACTGTGCCTAAAGTTGTACCCCGATTCAGTTGGTGTTAAGTTGACACATGTTATTTAGTAACGATTTTATGTAAAATCTTTGACTGTGGTACCTGATCCTGTAATTCGATGCATAATTGACTCATATCACTAACCCCAAATAAGGCGCTTTGTTGGTAGTACGCGGCCAGTGTAAAAAACAGTAAAGTGGTACACGGTCAGTAAACGGTTGAGAACCACTGACGTTACCAATGCATGTCCTCACTTGGTTTATAGTCACTTTGACTGTATGTGTCCAATAAAACAAAAGCAAGCTAGACCACAACAATTCTCAAACTAAAAAAAAATCCTCAAACTCATGCTACCGCCACAAGGTGCGCAAAATTGTTGATGATGTCAAGGCACTCAAAAAACGAATTCATCAGAGACCACAAAAACGTTTAAAATAGATAAAATAGCCTTCTAGCGACAAATACAATCTTTAACCAGTAAACATTTCGAAGCAATTGGTCCAGTAATGGAAGTTAAAGGAGATTTTTCAACAACAACAATAATAACAAGTCTCTGAACAATAATTGATCGTAGCGGATCTGCGTGCTTAGAAACGTCGTATTTTTAATGTGGCAAGCCGAATTTTTTTACGAGAGACGATAGACTACTACGATACCTGATCTGATAATATAGAACGAATCATTGTCACCGGACCTGGAAATGCTAGTAGCCTACTGTCCCGTTCAGAATACCGAATGATTTTCGAGAAATTGTTGGTCAAATATTTCGTTTTGGCCTTCGAGCATTTTTTTCGTATTTACGCAATAAAAACGTATTGCATAGATTCTAGGGGAGAGTGGGGCACAGTGGCCCTCATTTTTTCTTTGGCGATTTTCAAACTATTTACTACGCTATTTCAACTTCTAAAGCATATGACTACATTGTAAGAGAAACGAACTTTTTATTTCTTACCAAAGAATTTGCTCAATGGGAATATTTTTCCTGTGAGCCAGGTTTTTTAAAATAAAAATTTTGTCCCACTGTGCCCCGACGTCGGTATACAGTGGGACGGTGGTTGGGTCACAGTGGGAAAACTGAGAAGGAAATAATTTATAAAGAACAAAACACCATCAGGAAAGAAATTTTGCTAAAATATCGAGCCCTTATTCGTCCTTCAAAGCTACTGGATATTCCATTGTGTGAGATCTTCACTAAATCGGTAGTGTCTGGAAGCTCTTGCCGTGCCGACAACTTTAACTGGAGCTTCAGACTACATCTTCTTCATCCAGCCCGAATGTGCTTTCTTCATCTTCGAAGAAAAC